TATCTTCGCTAATTAAATTAATCACCGTAATTTAGCTTACACTTATGAATATAGGGAGCACTTAAAATGTGAAATAATCATTTCACTACCCGACAAACTCCGAACTTTATTCATTCATTAGGCCTACATAATAGTTTCATATTGCTGTACTATATACTCCAACATCACTGGCGCATGGTAACAACCAAATGACTGCAGACCATTTCCGGTCACACATTACTCTCCATAACACAGCACCCCCTAGTTTCGTCACCTCTGGATAATTTTGAAATAGTATTATGAAAAAGTGGTACACAAAATCAATGCTATTGAAGAAACGATTCCCACAGAACTGTAAAGAAAATTCTAAACTAAAAATAACTTATCGATTAAGTTTAGGCATTGATGATCGACGAGGAGGGTTGATTCATGGCCTGTATTGATTTATTATTATAACTCGATACAGGTCGTGAGCCATTCCTCATAGAGGGCGTAGTTAGGCCACAAAAGGTGCTAAAGTTTGTAAGCAGGTGCCGTGCTGCGAGTTTTTTTTTTTTTTTTTTTTTTTTTTTTTAAGGTTAAAAAATTTTTTTTTTTTTTTCAAGAGTGCACTAGCGAACAGTGGCCACATCGGTTGCTAAAACGAGCCTGATGGGTCAATTAACGGCTCGCTGTAACAAAAAAGAGTTGAAAACACAAACATTTAGGCTCATATCAATAATGTGTTAAATCATAGAGAAAATGTGTTCTATTTTCTCTATGGTTAAATATGCTGATTGCCGTATATGTATCGCCTTGTGAACCCACTTTAGGGGCTGTTCAATCTTAGTAAATGTCACAATGCATGTACAGTCCATTGATAATATATTATCTCTCCTAACTATTGCCAGAGTTAATGTGGCATATATAAAAGATAAGCTAAACTATATTATCTTTCTACAACATGGGACGCAAACTGCAGTGTTCCGCGCAATAAAAATTACGCTCAATGGAAGCATTTATTTTTATCGGTCGTATCCATCTTCCCATTTTGATATTAACACAATATTTGTGATGTAGCCTATGGTTCTTCAACGCGTGGTGTGATTCAGTGATTAAATTTAGTAACCAAGTGGCATAAAAAATAACGTTCCATTTCGTTGTCATCGATTTTTACCTTAAACGAAAACTTCATTTTAAATTTAATTTTAAAACAGTGATATACACCGCAACGCTGGTGCCTTATCAAATGCGAAATACTTAAAAATAATTATTTATTAAATGAATTATGGCCATGTTAGTAAATGCGCATAATGCATTTTGTTAATCAGCATAATGGATTTCAATCATCTAGATATTGATTAAGTAATATTCAATGAATGTATAAACGTGAATAGAGCTCAAAATCCTTATTATAAACCGTTCTCTTAAAATATCTAAATAAGAACGCAAGATAAGAAAAAACTCCTTCAAACCAGTTGAATACATGTATAGCAAATTTTACATGCAGTGAACCGTATAAAATTGTTTGAAGAATAACTTGGTATTTTACATTTCGTTGAGAGTGAGTAATTAACTGCTGCATTGTGTGTACTGTGGTCATCGTCTGTAACAATGCTCATAGTGTTTACCTGTTGATTGTGTGCTTTCACAATTAGGTCTGGTCAACATTCATATGGTAAGTATACCTACTGCAATTAAGATGTAATTATCTTTTTTGCAATTATTATATATTCTCATTTATTATTAGTTATATCTATTTCAAAAGGACATAGGAAACATACCGCTTTCTGACTTACTGTTAACTTCAGCATGATGTATGTGTAACTAACTTTAGGCGCTGTGAAAACAAAAAAATAAAATGGTTAAACTTGATTTTGAAATAAATTATGATAAGCTTTGTTATACTGGGATGAATTCTCGTTAGGCCTATTATATACGCCAAAAACGAACACGGTTTTTGTTTACTCTTCAACAGTTTTTCTGTCTGGCCAGAACTGACATCTGCAACTGTTTTTCACACTAGCTTTAACTATCTTCATATTACTTATTGAAAAATTATTACCGTTAGTAACTGTTGATTTGAATAGAAAATATAATTTTCGATAAATTATGAATAATTACCAGGAATACCATGACAACAGCAATTTCAGCAATTTTCATCTTACTTTTTTGTATCTCAGTCTCATTTTTCTTCAACAAACATTATTATTATTATTTCTTTAAGTGTGGTTCTGCTGCTGTCACCAGCGTTAGTTATCCTTTCTAAATATGTATTAGGTTTTCAAAGATGAGTCTTAATGGATTCAAGGAGGTGTAAACAATAGCAAAAACCCCAATACATTATCATCATGCTTTTGTATTCATTTTATATTATGTTCGCATTGTAATCGAACAATTTTTAAACCAACGTCTTTTAGACAGTAGACACACGACTTTGCCTCGATGTTACTTTATTTACATAGCTCTATAATCTGCTTTGTACATACATATACACATTGATATCAGCTATGGAAATAATAATAATTATTATTATAATCATAATAAAAAATGTAAGAATAATAATATCAATTAATAATGATAAATAATAATAATAATAATAATAATAATAATAATAATAATAATAATAATAATAATAATAATAATAATAATAATAATACTGTAATAATAATACTGTAATAAAAACAATAATAATCCAGCTTCAAGACCAAACACAGTGTCCCCACAATTGGGGACCACCATGAATATATATCCAAATTTAGACACTAACAACAAATCCTCTTAATAAGGGGTTTTTTGGCACACAGTCACACAATGATGATGTTTTTTATGTAATTTCATTCATGTCATTTTTTTTTACTTTTCATTTTTCTTTGCATCTTTTTCGTCGTTTTATATATTTCTTGTATATATCTGTTTCTTATCTTGTCTCTGTCTTTTCAAGTCTGTAAATGACGGTATTCGCTGTTGGTCTTGCTTTAAAGAAAATAACTTTTACATTTTAACTATGGACTGGCTGATGCAACATTTGCTTCATTACTATTACATGAACTTCAAATTGAATTTTTGTGTGTGTGTGCGGTGTAAAACTCTATTGTAAAATCCTTTCCTTAAAGGTATCGTGTATCTTGTAGGTAAGTGATTTATTACTGTATATGGAAAAAATTACGATAGGATTGTTTCTGTCTCTTATACACA